CAAGGGAAGAGGTTCACAGCCCTGTGCTGACCGCTGAAACAGTGGGATGCTTTAAAGATGGGTAAGAAGTCATCATACTTGCTCCAGGTTTTCACAGAAGTAATGCAAATATTGATTTTCTTGTTGAAAGATGATTTGTGGTTCTGTCACAAGCCCAGTGGGTAGGATGCAGGAACAGAGAAGGATTTGAGGAAACTGTATTTGCCATCTTGTGTTTCCTGACCTCCAGGAGGGGTAGGGATACTTTGAACCAGGTGTTCTTATTCTGCTTTTATTGACTGCCTATTTTTCTCCTTATCTCCCCTCTGACTCCCATAGCCTAAGTGGGAGCCAGGCAGCAAAGCCTCCTTCTCCTTTTTCTCTTCCTGCAATCTAAGCAGCACTGGAAATCATTTCTGGTTTGCAATTCTTATTTGGGGGGGGTGCGGGGGAGGTAGACAGGGTGAGAGAAGCTATGGACTTTGCCTAAGAAAAGGAGTTTTCCTTGCTTTGCCCTGAGTCTTTTCCAAGAGCTGAACCGATTCCAACCTGAAAGGACTGCAGCCTCAATAGAGCCCTTTTAACTCCACGCACTTCTCCTCCCTGATACTCAATTGCAAATGAAAATAAAATATTTTAATTCCAGCGAGATCACTCTAAAAACAGATCTTTGACAAGGAACAATTTCAACTTTGATGCATGTAACTTCAGTAAAGGTTCATTCTGGCGTATCAAAACAAAAGCTTGCCGTTCACACTGAATGTTTTTTGGTTGCTCCTCTGCAACACACACACACACAGAAAAGAGCAGAGATGACCTTATTGTCATTTCTTTTCCTTTAACCTATAAGAAAGCCAAATACAAGTGCTCTGTGTAGCACGCTACGCACACGTGTCGTTCCCTAAAATCCCTTTTCTCTGATCTGCTCTACAGGGTATTTAGCCCATACAAGCGTTGCACATTCTCTCTCGGTGCATTCACCACGCGCTTCCATTCCACACCGAATGTAAACAGTCTGCGCGCAGGAACGATGGGGGCGACGTTTCAAATCTCGCCTGGGTTTATCTTTGAATGCCAGACAAAACCAGCTTTATGCGGTTTAATAGAAGATCGAGTCATCTCAATTTGCAGACCTTAGAGCCACTCGCATACCTCCTCAAGTATAAACACAACCAGCTGATTCCCAAACCAGCAACTAATCCAAAGATTGTTTAAAAGATTAGCGACTGGTAATGCATTATTTCATTCCTCCGCTCCCCCTGCCCCCTCCCAAATTCCTAGATTTTATACGATATATTGCACGTTACCTAAAATTCCTCTGGGATTTCTGCTCTTAATAAGCAAGTACATGGCCATGCAGACCATAAGCATGCAGCCGTTGCTGGCATTAAGAATTCAAAAGTCATTAATCGGATTCCAAACAAGGAAGAAATCAATGAGATAAAAAAAAATAAAATCATGTATAACACTTTGTATTTTAAAATGTTTACACTCTGTCTGGAGCATCATACTTCCCAACTACTGCCTGCATTGGAAACTTGGGGTAAAATCTATAGCAGCTCATTTTTTATACTCCTTTGGAGTATTTCACTTTTCATCAAATATGTCAGAGGAATATCACGGATGACTGCATATACCTGAATAACCAGAGCTTAGTCAGTCACTGCTTTTGGATACTAGCAGAGCAAACGTACGTGAGTTTGAAATACCCTCCTCTAGAATACAGGTAATATTGTGGGGTTTTTGACACAATCACTTTTCCTCTGATTTCCATTGACATCGCAGAAACAGATTAAGGCAAAAAGGGATTTTTCTTCATTTGTGCTGCCTATACAGCCTTCATAAATAGACACTGGCTCTGCGGGTGACCAAAGTCAGGAGCAGCTGTGTGTACCAGCCCAACGCAAAAAGAGCTATATTGAACAAGAATAAAGTTTATCTGCCCCAGTTACCTTGTTTCTGATGCAAAGCTTGTAGCAGAGTCTTCAAAAAGAGAGTGTAAGAAAGTACACAGACATAAAGTCATGCTTTTCCTTTTTTTTTTTTTTTACCAACTCATCACTGACTACTGTTTGAAGTACTTGCTGAACTGGAGTTTACATATGAACAGTCTGTTTCATAATCCTCAAGCGAGCCCTTCTCCATGACTTTACCCAATCTCTCTCAGTTTGTTTCTATTCTGGCTACCAAAGCTTTTGGCAGCAGTGCATTCTACAAGTAATTAGTTTTTGTTTTCTTTTTCTTTATTTTTTCTATGCAGGCCTGATAATTTTATTTCACTGTAGCTGGGGAGATGGGAAGCACAGGATACTGGAAATGGAAACTTGCAGTTTTTCTTTGCTTATCCACTGACATATTCTCAGATTGGTGAGAGAAAAGCTATTAAAATCGTAATGCGCTGCCTAATGACCTAGATTGATGAAGGATGTACTTAGTTGTAGTCCAATTTACAGAAAATGGGCATTCACCATCACAAAGTTCAGCACCAAAATTGCTTCCGTATGTCTGTACTTCAGCATCTGGAAAAAGACTAAGGATTAAATTAATAGGGATACTTCATCTTCCATATGCCTCTTAATATTCCTCCACGTCCCCCAGGTTATTGCTTCTGCATTACTGCAAGAACTACATACAAGATGAGTAACTGCCTGGCAGCGGTTCTTTTGATTTTTTTATTGATTTTGCCTAGCTTTTACAACTCCCATCCCAACCCACGGTTTTTAGCTCTGTTTCTAGGTATAAGGAAGTCAAATCCTCATACCTCTATTGCAGAAGCTGCCAATATTCAATACCTGAACTGCCTAGAGCATCTTCAGCCTGCAAAATCCCGAATATTGCAGTGCCAGACACTTTCTGAAGCTGCCTCTCCCTATGGACGACCGATGGCTCTAACCACGCTTTCCAGCACCAACCAGAAAGTCACATGGTTCGTCGTCAGTCATTTACCATCCCTTTTTCAGCACCATTATTCAATTAAAAGTGAAGCCAAAACGTTCCTGTCCACTGCATACTGACGTGCAAGACGGTCAAAGCCTTTTTTGAAGTTGGCACTAATTGCTGTGTCACACCAGGAAGCACGGGAACTGCTCCCAGGGGCTAGAGAATGTCATTAAAACCAGACCAAAAAACCCACCAAGGTTTGATCCTACACTAGATAATGCAGATACTCCACATAAAATTGGCAGTCTGGCCACACGCAAAGGATCCTCTGAGGTAAAACCTGGTATTTGTGAACCCAGGAAGGGGTAATTCATGAAACAACACTTTTCTAAGGAAAATGCTGAACTGCCTAATGTATGCTCTTCGGATTGTAAACATGGAGCATCCAATGAGACACTTGCACGTACAGATCTATATTTCCATTCACCACACATCCACGTTTACTAAGCAAAACTACAACCCAACAACCAAAATTCAAAGTCCTCTCCAAGGCAGCAGAGAACGTTAGCAAAGTCAAAATAGGCTGTGATTCCACGGTGGCTCGTGATTTCTTTTCAAGAAGCACCATTAGGCTATGCAGTTCCTAATTACATTTACAACCCCACTTTTTCAGTTGCTTGTCAAAATTACAAAATTCTACAGGAAGGAATCTGCAGGAAGGCTCCTGCAAGCACGACTCATCCCCCTGGCTTCTGCACGTTAGGAAACAATCTTGAGTTACATTATCACAAACTCTCTATATTACAAGGTCAAAGTTAGGAAAAAAAATCTTAGTTACAATATCACAAACTATATTACAAGGTCAAAGCTTCACTCAGTGCACAAGATGAGCCAAAGGAATGAAAAGAAGAGACTCTACAGGACTCTCTCCCTCAAACCTGAAAGAAGAAAACACTTTCCGCTCATTTTAACACTTGGAAATTCAGATTTTTGCCAGAATGTATCATGACTCCTACCAATACACTGCTGTTTAAGCATTTTTTAGGATGTCCCTTTCATGTGTCACCCCCTCTGCCCTGCCAGCCATACACACGCCTCTAGAGCATTTGTGCCATATGTACAAAAGCTTTGCAAGAGTGACGCGATGTCGCAGAAACGTGACTAAATACTCTCGCAGACAGAATTATCTCTATTTGTAAACACTTCTCAAGTTAAAATCTACCTCCACAAAATCCTACTGAAACACGCGTAGAACTGGACTCTGCGTTGTGCAAGCAGCAGGTCCTTTGCTGACAGCAGACATCCATAAGTAGAAGCCCCCAAAAGTTTTTAAAAATAAACAAAAGTTCAGAGCTTTCTTCTCTTTCTGCTCTAATACAGACTTTCTGACAACTGCACACCAGCCTTCTGCTGCGAGGAGCTTACTAACGAGAAAGATCTATGAGAAGAACTCGGCTTATTCCTGTGGCACAGGGAGGACCCGCTAAGTTCTCGCTGGAGCAGGAGCATCCCATTAATTTCAGAAGGCTACAGCTCATTTTAAAATGTCCTAAAGGAGATTTTTCAAATGTTAGCCTGCAGCACTGACAATCTCTCCTCCAGGAGCCCACGACTCAAAACTAACTCACAAACCAAATGGGATGTAACTGTTGAAAGCACGTAGCCACCTTAAAAACCAGCTGCCACAGATAGCCTTCTTATGTTGAAAGCATATCATGTACTGTCTACTTTACGGGAAAGAAAAGGTCAATCTCAGAGAGAAAAAACACCCCCAAAAATGGCTTTGGCCACCAAGTGCAGCAAAAAAGTGATTTCAGCGTTGCCAGCGTGTTGTCATGCACGCAACTGTTTGCTGAGTCCAACCGAAATTCTCTATTTTTAGCCTTTCAGCTACTTTCAGATAAAATTCCTGCAGATAGGACTAGCTCTATAGGGCAGATAACATACAGCTCTGAAACCACAGATGACCTCATGCAACTGCAAAGAAAGAAGGGTCTGTTACTTAAAACGAGGCTAAAATTTAACCCGGCTATACTAAAATTAAACAGGGAGGGGTTTACAGTCTCATTACAAGACATAAAACAACAGTCACTATAAATTCAGGGCAAACTTATTTGTAACGACATAAAAAGAGTAATTTGTTAATAACCGAAATCCAGCTTATCTCCAGGCCAATACACCAAAACTTTCCCAGGCTCACTGGAGATTTCACAAACAGCACTGGGAAGCTCTTTCAGCAGCCCTTTGAGAATGATTTGTCCAAAATCAAAAGCCATTGCTCTCTGTCAAGAGTCACAAGACGTTTTTTAAGCGCTCCAAACTTTTAGTTGACACTACGGACAGAAAAGAAATACACGTAATCCAAACTTTCCGGAAAGTGATTCCACGTGTAAGAAACACAACTACAGATCTGAGCGAGAATCCAATTTCCCTGAAAACGCTATTGATTTCCAAAAGATTGAGGTACAGTTCTGAGATCTATCATTTGAGCTGATCTTCAGTATTTAAGGAGAGATGTGTAAGGTACGCGTATGCTCACATCTCTTTCAGTTTGCAAAATATTTGCTGGGTATTTCTTCAGAACAAATCCTTCACGAGGTGAGCACATGCTTCCAGTTGTAGATGAAACACTCCAAGAGCTCTTTCATCAAGGAAAATTTTCACTCCGTAATAATGAATGAACAGTTTAGATATACGCATGAAATAAGGTAGAAAAAGTTATTTAACACCCTCACCAATTCACTATAATGACCAGGTTTTGAACCATTTATCTTAACTCTCCCCTTCTTTCCTTAATACCAACACAGGCAAACCCGTATTTTTTAACAGTGATGTAGCCTCAACTCGTCATTTAATTTTTCAAGCGGAACCAGCATTGAAGTAAAGGGTTACAAAGCACTTAACTGTTAATTTGAGATTACAGAACAAGTCTGATTTTTTCTGCCTTCATGTCATTTGAAAGGAGAAACTCCATTTGTCATAAGGACTTAAAACCACGACAGAACAAGGTTTGCTATCGCTCTCTCTAAGGAATTGTAGGTGGAGTTATATAAACAACAGAGCAACGATCAAAGGGAAATCATAGAGAGCGCAATATAGCGAGGTATTAAAGGAACGGAGCCTTTTATCTATTGTGGAGGAAGGAAGCAGAGCATTGAGACATGTGTAACACATACAATTAAAAATCAAAAAACCAAGCGAGTCCCAGAAGAGACCAAAATCTATTGAAGTCTGTTTTTTTTTTTTCTTATTCTGCTAAAATGACAAGAAAGAACGAAAAATGCCATCTGCTGCAAAAATTACACTCCATCACCTGGAAAAGCCAAGCATTCAACTCTGTTTGAAGCTGGATTTTCCCCCTACATCCTATGAAACAAGCACTGTTGGATCACAGACCGTGTCCTCATTCACCGCCCGTCGAACTGAGCCTTACCTTGTCCTCCACTCTGTTCAGCCTGGCACCAATCGTGTTATTCCCTCGATCTTTGCTTTTTTCTGTGGAACAAGAAACACTGTCGAATTAATATATGGTGCTTTAACAAAACAGCAGCAAGCCACAACAGGGTGTGTTTCACTAGCCCACCAACGCGGCGTAACCGAACACCTTTGCCGGGGCTGGTTGTTCTATTCCTTAAAAGTAGCTTTTTGTTTCTTTTTATAGCATTAGCCCACGCCGTGGCTTTTAATAGCTCTGAAGTTTAAGGCGCTTTCAACCTTAGCTTTATGCTGTAACCTGGGAGAACAAAACTGTTTCCAATTTAGTTAAAGTTTTAATTGCCATTTAAAAACAATCTGCCACTATGCAGAAGACTCTACAGCCAACGTGAACATTGGGTAGCATTTTATCTTTTTTTCCCCCTATAAACTCTGTAGAAACATGAGTTTGAAAATGACATTAACTGGGAGTTTTCATAAGCCAGACTTGTTACAAACAAACCTAGTACTTTCTGATTCTTTTTCAGTCTCTTTTCAAAGCTATCAAAGCTCTTCGTGAATATTACTGATTTTGTAGGAACTCTGGAATCCCAGCGCACCATTTTTGGAAACAGTATGGAAAAGATGGTGACTCAGAGAGATTAGAACCAGCATTTTGAAAACCTCAGTGGAAGTAGGTGCTTTAAACATCTAAACATGAACAACACGATTCTAAAGGTGCTGGTGACTAACTGCAACTGGTTGGCACCATTTAAAAATGTGGCACCAAAATAAAAAGTATTTTAACAAGTGTTTTCCATTAATTATATCTTCATCAGATTAACTTTAGACACAGCCTTCATATTAGCTTACCTGAGACGGAGATGAAAAGAGACGGCTTCCCTATGGATTGGTCCAATCTATAAAACAGAAAGAATATTTTTTAGATTTTATTAGCCTGAACCAGCATCTTTGCTTTCTTGAGTGAGAAGACCTTTTCACAGACAAGCAGAGTGAAGTTCAAATAGTTCTGGTTTGCACTGTAAGAGAAGCCATAACTTCGGGCCAAGAATAGCTTGCAATAAAAGAAAAAAAACCAACCCACAAAAAAACCCCCAAATGGGATTAGATTTATATTAGTCTTCAGCTTCTTTAACCACTGTGAAGTTTTACCATGCCCACCACTTTTCCATGTGAACCACACTGTTTCCCCTTTTCCTTTTTCTTATGCAGGCTACTTGTTGCATTTATCTGTTGCCCTTCAGTTTGCTCAAGCACAATTCTTCGGGAGTGAAAGTCTTTCACTCTGTCCGTATAACAGAGCCTCTAACACACAGGGATTACAGTGGATGGTCAAAGCTAGTGGATGTCAAAGCTATATAACGAAATATAATGTACATATATGCATAGTGAAAACTCTAAGCCCCAACCATCAGACTTTTAGGCTCTTTGCCTCTTCTTTCCTTTCTTCTTTTCTTCTTTTGTGTGACAAAACCCTACTTGAATGCCATTTCATATTCCATAACTTTGCTCAGTCCTACCAGTAAGGCACAGGTATCCCTGTCAGGCTTGATCCCCCACCCCGATCCCCCACTTCTTTACAAACACCCCTCTGCTGCTGTTCAGACACTGAGCTTTACGGACATACCTCCTCTGCAGTTCCTTGATTCGCACCATCAGGTTGAGGTGGCCCTGCGAATACTGCTCAATAACATCTCGGACATCGTAGGGCTTCCTAGCTTGCTGTAAAATAAAAAACAACCAAACCCCCATGTCTTTAAGCCGCAAGGATGTAGGAATGGTCTACGGTAGAGTTTCTTCAAGAGTTAACACTAAATTCTTTGAAATCCTTTAAGACTGTATAAATATTGGAGATACCTAGATTGTTGCCATGATTGTATTTTCAAACTCATGTTTGTACATAGTTTATGGGGCGGGGGGGAATGCTACTCAATGTCAGCAATCCAAACTAATTAAAGATGTCCCTGCTCATTGCAGGGGGTTAGACTAGATGAGCTTTAAGGGTCCCTTCTGACCCAAAGTAGTGTGTGATTCTGTATTTCTGACTCATTCATTATGCTGCCTATAGACACCCCGTAGATAATTTTTCAAGGTTTAGTAAAAATCTTGGTAACAGAGTTACAAGTTTTCCTTTCTTGCATCTTTTGAGAACAAGGAAAAGAGTTTACAGTGGCAGATTCTAACACACCACAACTGGCATCCCATCTGAGGTCTCAGAACTATTTTTCCACCTGTCCTTCAAAAGCAGATGTCTCTGCATTGCTTAACGCTATTTACACGCTGCACGTTTTCCTCAATTCCAGGCCACAAATACCTTCTTTTTTTAAGCCAAAGGGCAGCGGGATATACTATAAAAAGCAGGCTGTGGCATCTTCATGCAGTCCTCTGCACCTGCCTGGCAGGTAGCTCCCACATTTTAGGAATCATCACTTTAATAACCAAACAAGTTATGTTCCAGTCTGCCAGATCCCTTAAAGCCAACTGCAAACCTTGGGTGAATGTGAGATACTCTCTAGCGGAAGGCTAAACAAGAATGGGAATTGCTTCAGTCTAACCTAAGAGCACACTGAAGAATTTCCAAGAACCCCAGGCACTTAAACACATATAAATCACTACTAACATCCACGAAGAAAGAAATATGATTCAACGATGGCATAAGCCCATAAGTCTTTCCCCGGACTAGCACTGTAAACATGCTGATATTTAAAAAAAACCTAAAATTCTTGGATTATTTTTGTACTATAAATAAGCAAGAGAGAAATCTGCACGATCAGCTTGAAAGCTCCAGATTCAGAAAAGCTGTTCAGGAAGAATAAAGATGTAGAGTTTTCTCCTGCCATCCAGACACAGGTGTCTGGCAGTAGGAAGAGCAGGTATGTCCCTGCCTGGTTTTCATTTTCTGGGCTGCTGCTTCCTCTTCAAAACCAGCACTGAAAACCTGGAATGAACAGAATTTATGGCTGAAGCTTAATTTCTGAGTAGGACAGGGTATCTAATAGTCACTACTGATTATTCTGCAGTTACTTCTGATCTTTCCAGAGAAACACTCTCGATGTTAACAACATGAGTGTTGTAGAAGTACAAAAACCAGCAGCGGGTAATGGATGAATACTGAAGAAACAACAGCAGAAGCCAGGCCCACAGCTTTCCTTAACTACTCTACTTATGTCCCTCTGCTAATTAAGCAATACTCCCAGCAAAATCTTCTTTAAGGAGTTAAAATACAGGAAAAATGTGCAAAGGGCATACAAGCCAGTGCTAAATATTAAATGCACACCGCAGGCTGTTGCTGTTCGCCGGTGACCGCGTGTGCAGGGAGGCAGAGCTGGGAAAGGGCGAGGGGAATCCGTGCAAGGGGAATTTCAGGGAAACGTAACCAAGTAACGGTCAGATCAAATGGGCAAGACATCCTTTGAAGGACAGGACACTCGAAACTACATTGTTTGGTACAGCTCGGTATGGAGATTAGAAAAGATTACACACACAATTCATGATTCATACCGTGACAAATGAATTCCATATGACGATAAACAGTAAGACTATAAATGCAAATTTTTTCCAGTGAAAATGTAAAAAACCAGGCAACGGTGACTGGCATCATCAGTGGGACTGCAGCCTGCGTTTTTAGTTTATGCTACGTATAGAATATTGGCCATGGTGAACAACATAACACGAGTTAAAGGCAAACTTTAGAAGGAAACTGATTTACTCAACAGGAAGAATTTCCATGGACAGATTAAAAAAAAAATAAAATTCAAAATGACACTGTAAAATCAGACCAAATCCCTGGTCTCTGGATCTGTGACGGGCACCCCACTTGTATCCGTGCACGTAAATCTTTAGACATTTAGAAACTTTCCTAACTGGAAGACAAAGGTTTCTGAAATTCAGCTGTAAAGTTAGACTCTGACAGAGACATCTGATTAATAACTACTGTATGGAATTTATTTTTGGTAAGTGGGGTGAACATAGCCTAGAAAACCATTAATTTCTACCTACTATTTTCCCTATGATCTACAGAATTCTTCCTTAGCTGTGACCTATTCACCTTGACTGATGCACAGGACTTGTGCCGACTACTACAATAATATGACATACCCTACACAGCTTGAAACAGTCCTTCAGACTTTACAAGAGCATAAAGAAATCCATAGAAGAGCTATTAATTCTATATAATAGTATGTTGGGTTCCTACATAGACATCATTATATGGACTACATGCAGACCTGGACTTTAAAATAGAGCATAAATTAAAAGAAAAGGAGAAATTTGTGCTCTTTTTTAAGAGGAAATGATGCCCAAGAGCGATGCTTCACAAAGAACTGCTGTTTCATGTCCTTTGAAATTTGTTTGTATCCCTGTTTAGCTTCTCTTTATTTATTTTATTTATTTTTTTTAAACAGGAAGGCTCTGCTTTCTAACTGACTTTTGTCCTTGTGGTGCCATCATCCCCTGTTACTAATTGAGCTCTTACAAAAAAAGGATCTAGGTAAATTAGGCATACAGGTGTATCCTGCACGCAGCTGGTATAGTTTAAGAAGCATGCTGGGTTCATGCTGGGAACTATTTTGCAAAATTTTCCTCTTCCTCTCTTTTCTTCCTATGCTTCCCCTCGCCAAAAGCTTCACAGGCATCTCTAAAAAATACTTCTTTTAAGTGCTGGCCTTGCAATTACTTACGTTCCAGCTAATTTTAAGCATGAACAACCCAATGGACTTCAGCTGAAATTTGGTGGTTTGTTTTTTCTTTTTAAGAGTTATAGAAAAAAAATAAGTCAATTTTCTTTTAGGAAGACACATTTCACATAAACAGAAAACGCTTAGAAGGCAGCTATGCCAGACCACTTAAATGCTGAAAGATGCATTTTGAAAAAGCATCTTCTGCTTCACCTTAATGTCAGATGTTGCGCTGGACAGTTAAAAACTGTACAGTCATTACTTGGCACATGTTTAAACACTTTCATTTCTTATGATTATTTTACCTGTAGACAATAGAACAGAGCAGATTTACAGCAGACTTTTGAGGAAAGAATTACGACAGTGGTTATCTCTTAATTACAGAAGAGGTTTTGCCAAAGCACCTCGTGGCTTGAATTTCAAGGTGACTTTGTGCATTAAGTTACGTAGGTGCTTTTGAAAACTGTACCTTGGGCGCTCTCCGAATTTTTAAGCATGGTCATAACCTTGTATTCAGAAATTATAGAGAAGTATTAGATATCTCCTGTACGTCCCTGTTGGAGATTCTGCTTCTGACAGGAACAGCGGCGTATTGCTTGTAGGCAGGAACGCCTTGAGACATATTTCACCTCAGCCTAACTGACATTTTTAGGTCTTTGATAGCTCAGAAAGAAGAAAGACACTAAAGAAGGATGAGAGATAACCTTGCCGAGGGATTCTGCAGACGGCCAGGACCAGGTCTTTTGCAGAGGAGAGAGTGTGAGTACAATTGAGAAGCCAGCTCAGCAGCCGGGATACCGAGTACAAACAAGTTTTAAGTATGAACTGAATAGTCCCATTCTGTTCAGCCAAAGAAATGCTTTTTCAGCTTCTATCAAATCATCTGCCATGGGGGAGTTTCGTCTATTTGCCAGGTGGATAATGTTGCACCCAGATTTTCAAAATCTGTTTTTGACAACCGCCAGGTGGGAGGTAGATATTCAGAACGTGTGGATGTCTTGTTTCAAAGCAGCTTGGTTAATACCATGGCTAATATTTGACAATCTAAATTGATGAGAGCAATGATTCAGCAATCACCACGGAGCCAAGGATCACAAATCAGATTTTAGAATGAGAAATAAATTGAAGGGCAATGGGACTGGCCATGTTCAGGCAGTTTGTCACCGAGAGGCAGTGGACATGTCACAGGGACGGGCCACGGTGCTTGCCAGGTTACAAATGTTGGCCAGCGCATGTTCAGGAGCTTCTCAACAAAATGACTACAAAAATTTTTTTTAAATAACATGGACATGGCAGATTTCAGCTTCAATGGTGACAGTTTGCATTACATGTACCTGAAACAAATTTCTGAAAAGCTCTGGCAGTCTTAGCCATAAATCAGCTCATAAATTTTAGGGGGGAAAAAAAAAAGATTCTAAGTAGAAAATTGCTAAAGAATTCAAGCAATGCTTCTAACTTTCAGTGAGGAAGCCAGAATTACGGCTCTGAAGTAGCAGCAAGTCTTACAGAAACAATGATCTCTCACACTGTTAGTCCTCCTCATCATCTGCTTCTTGGTTCTAAACTTTGTGCCCTTCAGATTGGAAGGAAAAAGGACACTGTCCCGTTTTGGGGGTTCTAGATAGAGGTAGGAAAGCTTTTTAGCCTATTGTAAGCAGTGGTGGCGAGGTCTTATATGAAAATGGATGTGGGCAGCTAAGCCCCTCTCTTTTCTTTATATTTTCAGTTGTGAAACGTGTTCTCCAGAGACTGTCCCTTATTAATTAATTGTAAGTAAAATATTTCTTACATATATATATATTCACCTGGTTTAAATCAAGTTGAAGGCTGTTGACACATGCCTTTACTGGATTAATGAAATTGATTTAGAAACTGTATTCCTGAAGTCACAATTTTTTTTATTCAGATGAGGCAACAAGGTTAATTAGCTACTGCCAGATGCTTACGGTACAGCAATGTACAGCAATGACAGCAAGTGAAGTGACACACAGGAAACATATGTTAGAGGGGTAAAGAGAACTGATATCTCACAAACTGGGAAGGAGGTCTCCTACCTATGCAGAAGGAAAAAGGAAAGGAAAGTTTCCAGTGCACAAACAAATTTCCACCCTGGTTTCTTATCAGGACTTCATTATCACTGAGTAAGAGACAGAAACAAGGCTGAGGTAGTATTTTAATCTCTAATCCTACCGAGTGGGCATGACAGTAACACAGAGCTCAGAATTAATGGAGACATATGAGAATGTTTGCACTGCAAGAAGGAGACAGCGATAACAGAGGGTTAAGGGTCAAGTCCATTAGCAGAAAATAACATTTTAATTCAGACTGCATTTCAGGAGTTGAGCCCACTTCCAGTGCCTCCACAGCTGACTAAACCTGCTGCTGAACAACCACCCCATTGAAGGAGGGAGAGAATAGTGGGTGTAGCTCACCATTACCCAAAGGAACTGTGTTAGCCTCTCTTGAGTTTCTAGAAGAAACAATGAACCAGGAGAATAAAAGGGTTTATTTAGAACGGGAGCTTTGCTATTCACAACTCACCTGAAACTTCTTCTTTGCCACAAAGTACTGCATCCTGCGGATCACCTTAATCGCGGCGCGGTGGTGTTCACGCAGCCTGTGGGAGAGAGGACAAGGTGAGCGGGGTGACAGAGCATCTCCAGCCAGACAAGAACTCTAACTGTCCACGGTAAATGCTTCACGGGCACGTCAATGTGTAACGGACGTTACAGCCCCGCCGCGCAACATGCCAGGCTGCTGACCTTCCCCACCTTTGGAAAAGGCTATAAAAATCCAGGATTTTATCTGACCTCTGCTGGGTTTGCACACACCTCACAGTAAGAGGTGTCTGTGTAACCCCCTCACATGTCTAAGCAATCCCCTTCACCACCCACCTTTCCCAGTTTCATTTTCACCAAAAAAAAGAGATGTTACTGAGTTTCTGCGTATTCAGTCACGAATTTTTTTATTTTTTCTTCCCCCCTAAGTCCTGTCCTATGTTTCTTCACTTACAGGAATTTGTTTTTCAAAAATTATTTTAAAAAACACTAAAGATTTTTGAGTCATTGACTTATAAACAATCCAAAGACTCCTGTGGTAGCTGGATGCAACATCTACATACACATATATGCCAAAGCCAGGCTAACTGTATATAGAGACAAAACAATCTGAAAGGTCTTTAAACAAATACATCCCTCTTTTCATGCACATAATTAAAAAATAATTACTTGCTCTTTGTACTTGAAGATAACCGATTTTAGAATCATAGAATCATTTTCATACTATCTGACATTTTTTAAACGATTCATTAAGAGCAACAGACACTTTAAATTTTTCAAAGCTTGCAAAAACAACGTATTTTTCTTCTTAATATAAAAATATCCAGTCAAATATTTAAGCTGTGCTGATGATTTATTCTTCTTGCTCGTTCTGTTACTCTTATCAAGATGCGCTTAAATGACATCACTGCACAATCTTTATTTCCTTTTTAAATAGATGAACATCTAGGATTTCTAACTCCTCCCAAATAGACTTCTAGTCTGGGGAAGCAGCAGTAAAACCAGAGCTAGATATTGCTGTTGTTTTACCATCATGAAATTATTATAAGGAATACTGAAAGACAGGTATATGGAGATGTCACGAGGCAGTGCTTTCTGTCTGCACCGAACCCAGTGGCTTTCATACTCATTATGGGATAGAAAAGTCATATTTAAGTTCTGTACAGGTGTGAGTCTTCGGTATGGTATAACACAATATCAGCCAAGCCTCCTCACTTAAATACAACCTGGAATTTTAGTGTGTATTCACGTATTTCCTCAGGACAAATTTCCCCCAGCAAACAGAAGTCCTGTGTGTGCAAATGGTGGGTGCCTGTCCTCCAAACAAGCGGAGCTGGGGCATCCCCCTTCTGAAAACTCACACCTTTCTGTGGGAAAAGAGCTTTCTGCAACGCCAGAACCAAAAGTCCTCTCATTTTCTACTTGTACATATTGCCTCTCAGGGGGCTTCCTTCCCACACAGAAATTGCTCAGATTTAGCAAAACCAGAAGATATTACTTTCTTCAGATACAGCGTCCTGCTCCCGCAGATCTGATTTTGCAAGATCATGGTTCACCTTATAAAACTGGGAATTCACTCCCACAAACCGGGATTGCAGCCTCTTGAGGTCAAGTCCCGGAGAGCAGAGTCAGCCTAATGCTAGTCCATGCTATCCCTGTTCCGGGAGCTCGTGCTGCATCGCTTGCTGCTGCTGGGGAAAAGGATAACTTTGCCCAAAAATGAAGGAAATAAAGGGTTTTGAAGTTGTACTTCACAGAGATAGGAGCCAAAAAGGTAAACCCTGCTTAATTTGCTATGAAATATCAAAAGGTGCACAAGAGTAATTGGCAGGCATCTACACAGCCTACACATAAACGCACACAAAATCAACTTACAACAAATAGAAACATATTCCACTTGCAATAAAACTGCTTGTAGTCCTGGGGTCTTTGCCTCTGGGGTGTTCTTCACAGACCATTATTCTGAGTGAAATATTTTTTATCTTTGGGACAGTCACTAGTAAAGCACACCAAATCCTTCATTCTCTAGCAAGACGATGAGTCTAATCTACAAGCAAGACAGCTGGATAATAAAAATTACATTCACCATTCAGTGAAAGAACAAAACTACACCACCAAAATGATTTTCCAAGCAGCTAGTTCACATCAGTCCTTGTTCAGTGCTAACATGGACTTCCACGGCAGAAAGAAAAGTTAATATTCACATTTAACTCCTTCCATTTCCAGCTCCAGTAGGAAACCTTACAGTGAGCTTGTTTCTGCTTACGCTATAAAATCTAATTCTGCACAACAGGCTGTCCTGATTCCCCAAGATTAAATGCTTCTACGATGAGGGAAGGGAATAAAGGATTTAATTAGTAGCCAAGGTTATGATTCATGATTGTTTGATCTCTTTCGCAAACTGGTAACAAATACTTCAGCAAAGTGAGAGTTTAACCATTAACTGGAGATATTTGTTTGTCCAGCCACTTGTAACACCTTTGGATTCTGGTTACAGCACGGCTGTCTGGGTCTGCGGGGACCCAGATGCGTGCTCAGATGCCACAGAGCCGCCCCACACGTCACCTCTTACCTTCCTCAGAGCAAGGGCTTCAGGAATACATTTATTTCTTCCAGGCTATGACATCAGCTGAAAGTGGTTACAGGGAGCAGCAGCACCCTTTCACTCTGCAGGCATCCCCCTCCAGCCCCTGTCCAGGGGTCAGGGATGACTGGGACACTCGAGAGTGCTCTCCTGCAGATAAAATCCCTCATTTCCACACATTCGTTTTTGGGGAAGCTTGTCTGCTAAGTGCATCAGCAATAGGGGCAGCAGACAAAGTGGGCTGCCCTTAACAAAGGTATTTCCCTCTCCTGAGCACTCACCCTCTCCATACCCATTAACCTGATGCTAACCAACATCCGAAGTGATTTGTCAACCAGCGACTCCAATAACCATCAGCATATTACCTTCAGAAATAAACTGAAGTAGTTTGTAGGGCTGAAAAATCAACCAAAAAACCACTGCTTGCAATGCTGGCAAGTCAGCGTGCGCCTTCCCAGAGAAAAACCAGCAAGAGCTTTCTCTGGCCAGCAGTAACTTTCTTTCTCAACATAAATAGGACATTACGATCACTTTGAACGCAGCACATACTATGTGACATTTCCTACGGACTTAAAACTCATAGAGTGAGGTCACAAAGCCATAACGTTGTCAGAACCCACAGGAATGATCCAGAGGGGTGAAGGATGACCTAACAACCCATTGACAATAGAAGACCATCCTGGTGGTAATAGGGTCAATAAATTCATACAAACCCATGTTATTTGTAGGTATAAACTAGGTTTGGTTTATTTGTGCACTGGAAGAGTAGCCTGTTGCAAGCACTCCTCAAATCATAAGAAAGGAGGATAAAAAAAACTCCACACCAAAACCCCACAAAGGATTGAGCACCCGCATTACAAAAGAAAGCCCGACAGAATAGAATGGCTAGGAATCATTAGTTTTTCCTGCCTCTTTTGTTGTGAGGATACTTTAACCCACAGCAAGTCATGTGAAGAAACCTGATCTCTTCATCAGTCCATAAGAAACCTGGACTGGAATTTCATGTAATTCGGAAAACAAGCATGCTGAGGAACTTCAGGTAATTTTACAGACATTCTCATCTGGTTAGAAAGTCATTACACATTTATGAATGCCCTGAACTATTGTAATGGAGCCATTTGTACTTTCGACTGCAATTTTATTCCTTTTTCCCCAACACAGCCAGCCAAAACCTCCCTCGGTTTCCCAAGGTGTGGCCCCTTGCCCAGCGCCACACGCACACACCGGCAGCCACAGGGAATGTCTCCGGATCCAGGCTGCCCCCTCCCTGCGTGGGGACCGGCAGGGCCACCCCAGAAGAACACCTTCTGGGACTGAGGCTAAGATTTTTGGTTACGAAAACCAGGTGGCTTTCCAGAAAAAAGGAAGTAAGCAGTTGCATGGTTTGGTCGGTTTATGTTTCAAGAAAAATAAAAACTTTAATTTTTTTTTTAAATGAAGTTTTACAAGATTAATCCTCTATTCTGAAATACACAATTCCTTCATTAGAGAACAAGAAAGGAAAAATAGCTACTGCTTAGAAATATTTATTCTCCTTACCAAGCTGCTGAATTTTGTATCAAATCCTTAGAAATGCCATTAGAAGTTTTTCACCCTTTTCATCTCAGGAAGGTGTTCTACATATTGGTTTAGTGTTAACAGAAATATTAAAACAACAAGACAGGGGAAAGGTGGTGTTAATATCCTATTTATAACACTTGCCTTTCTGTTCATTTGTAGAACGTTTTATTATCAGGACCATAATGTCTGGCACAGACCTCCCAACGCACACGGACACTGATATTATCGGAGGTAAAAGGTCAGCACTGTCTATTCAGAATGAGTTTAACAAGAACGAAAACTCAGTAGGAGAGAGCCACAGGTTTATAATATCTTTTACAAAATGTCCATTTCTCAGTAAACCTAACAGGGATTTGAAGTCAAGCTCGGTTTTCGAACGTATTTAAATTCTCTGTAGTCGTCTTAAATTTCTGACTTAGGACAGAGCTAAAGTATTAAGGGAGAAGGTTGAAGTCAGTTGGCCTGAAATTTTTGGCACTAATCATTATTTAGACTTGAACTTTAACATATCAGATTTTAATAATAACTTGTCCATGTAGAATGATTTTGTTTTTTTTTTTAATTTTTCCCCATTCAGGCACTGAAAAAGCGTTCCTTGTCACAGAATCCATTGGGTGAGACTCAGAGTAGCGACATTAAGCCATTTCATTAGTGCATTTAAGTCTAATGAAATCTTTCAGCACGAGTCCTCCAGGCGCTTTTGGTACAGAATTTGCTGTGGCTCAAGGTTATTCTTGTCTTTTCACACCTTCTGTCATTCCTTGCCCATTACAGTCGACGGGAGTCTCTCAGTACTGGGCAACGTTTCAGATGCGATAAATTGGGAGGGATTAGGTTGCATCGCTGTGTATTCTGTTCTAGGAAATGCTTGATCGTCGAACCCAGGAACAAAATCAGAATTGCCGACTATTTCAAGTAATGTGGGCTGCCTAGTTTTTCCTTTCATTTGTTGCTA